GCAGTGCTCCGAATGCAGTGGGTGCTCTGCGTGTAGTGTCAGTAGGGCTTTGACGAGTGACAGGATGGCAACCCCTGTGACTGTGAGGTCCTCCCACCCAGAGCGCAAAGCCAGGCATATTGGTCTTTTCTCTTCTGCACCCCTGCACGTGGCTGGGGGGTGTCAGTAGTGACGGTGTCGGTGGCACTTGGTTTATGCACTTGGTGTGTGATCTCACTGGACATCACACCCACTGTGGGAGGGGCTGTGACTGGGCCACGTGTCAGACGAGGAGACTGAGGCTGCTGCTGCCCAGGATCCCAGGGGGCACGGGGTGGGCTGGAGTACAGAGCTGGCTGTGTGACCCTGACCCGGAGCCTTCCGTCGCCCCAGGCTTTCAGTGATCACAGTGTGTCGATGTCGGAGCATCAGTTGTAACAAGTGCCACTGGGGGAGGGCATGTTGATAATGGAAGAGGCTACAAAGTACGTGGGCAGGGAGTGAGTACAAAGGAAATCTCTGTGCCTTCCTCTTAATTTTGCTGTGAACCTAAAACTGCTCTCAAAAAATAAAATCTTATACCTGCTCCCCAGTGTTTATAGCAGCACTATTTACAATAGCCAAGATGTAGAAACAAGCTAAATATCCATCAACAGATGACTGGATAAAGAAGATGTGGTATATTTATACAACAGAATACTACTCAGCCATTAAAAATGATAAAATAATGCCATTTGCAGCAACATGGATGGACCTGAAGATGGTCAGTCTAAGTGAAGTAAGCCAGAAAAAGAAAGAAAAATACTATCTATCACTCATATATGGAATCTTAAAAAAAAATAAGGGAAATGAACTTATATATAAATAGAAACAGACCCACAGACATAGAATATAGACTTGTGGTTGCCAGAAGGGAAGGGGTGGGGAGGGATAAACTGGGAGTTCGAGATTTGCAGATACTGACTGGTATTTATAAAACAGGTAAACAAGTTTATACTGTGTAGCACAGGGAAATATATTCAATATCTTACAGTAGCTCACAGTGAAAAAGAACATGAAAAAGAATGTATGTATGTTCATGTATGACTGAAGCACTGTGCTGTGCACCAGAAATTGGCACAGCATTGTAAACTGACTGTACCTCAATAAAAAAAAAATTTTTAAATGAAGTCTTAAAAATAAAAGGCATTCTATGGAATGGAGAAAATGTTTGCATATCGTATGTCTGATAAGGGGTTAACATCCAGACTACATCAAGAACTCCTGCAAGTGGACGGCAGTAAAACAACAACCGAGTGAACAAATGGACGAAAGACTTGAACAGACGTGGCTCCAAGGATGATGTACAAGTGGCCAACCAGTCTATGAGAAGCTGCTCAGCGTCTCCACTCACTATGTAACTTTAAGTCAAGACCCCAGGGCGCCAGCACCCTGATGCCCGTTAGGACGGCTCCTTTCCAAAAGAGAAGAGCAGCGTTGGAGAGGACGTGGAGATGCCAGAACCCTGGTGCGCCGACCGTGGGAATGTAAACGGTGCGGCCGCTGCGGAAGACAGAATGGAGGTCTGTCAGAAAATTAAACGGGCTTTACCGTGTGGTCCAGCGATTTCTGGGCACATACCACAGATGA